CTGTTTCAAAGCACACCAACAAGTGATTTATAATTACTGTCATCCAGCAAAAAAAACAGGAACATCTGAGGTCATTCGAGCGTTGCTAGTCACATCTCAAGTTCAAGATGTTTCCTATAAGGAAAATCCCAATTCCCAGTGTCGTTGCGATTGTCCTGCGGTTTGGATTATTATAGAGTGTACATAAAGCTAACTGTGTTGCCTACGTCAAGGTCTACAAAAGTCAAACATCCAGAGGGGACTTGAGTACCAGAAGTGCTGCTCGGGTAAGGATAAAAATTAAATTGCGAAGCAGTCGAATATCAAGTCCTCGCTAAAACCATCTTAAAATTGGTGCACGCGCCGGACAAAGGTTTGAAAAATGTGAAAGTTTCGAGGTGGTTCAATCTGAAGAGAGCGGATAGCACAAAATTAGGGGAGATGTAGAAAATGCTTACGAACTGACTGAGGGGACGCGCGGTGGTAGGGGTCGACCTCTGTGTATTTCCCCCACTGCAATTTTTGCGGCATGGCGAAACAAAGATTTGTAAAGCACGCGTAACAGGAATTTCTATTTCGGACGTCACAGACCTCAAGAACCAAGCTCCTACATTAACTAAAAGTCAAGAAATTCATTACCTAGTTACTACTTACTCGCATCAACAATCACCCAACACTTAACACTTACCTAGCCTGGCATTTAGTGAGATCTTGCTGGTTGGCTGCCAGTGTGCCTTAAGGCTCACACAACTATGTTAGTTCATCGCTAGGTCTGACAGGACTTCTGTTTCCAGAAGCGAAAATTTTCCAAACAATAAGTCCAGCCGACCACCTTAGCCGACCCTAGAGATGATTTGGCACAGCAAATTATAGACTAGAGACTGCTTGCGCAAATCCCTGTATCCATCTCACCAAAACATGAATAATTTTACCGGGTGTTGGCCGTAATTCGGAGGTTGAATATCAACCCTTCATAGATGCAACGTAGCTAGTATAAACTACTACACTATTCGGCGACGCCACATAGTACAATGTTTCGTACAGTGCTCATGTAGATCAATGATATTTTTGAAAAATGATCCGAAAAATGTTTTTTAGTTAGTACACCGGTGCCACACTTGCTTCGAGTCATTTTTTGCATATTTCAATCACTATCGTCATTTATGGCTTCATACTGAATCTGGGCTAATATGCCTTTTACTGAAAACTAATTCTTCGTAAATGCCCACTGGAATGCTCATACTCTGGACGGCCATAACATATTTCTGTGATGGCATCATCCAGAAATGAAGAGGAAGCCTATGAAGGCCTATGAAGCCTAAGCTGTGTCAGCCTTTCATTCGTGTGTTGTGAAGATCAACGCAGAGGCGTACAGTATAACCTGCCTATAGTGACTACCGCTTGACCGATTAAGAAGCTAGTCTAGATATGTGAGCCCTAATTCGACTGTCATAATTTGACTCTTCACGCCGCCAATTCAATTGTATCCTACTAAATCAAATATCCGTCAGTTTCAGAAAAGAAGCAACGTAGATAGTGGCTTGATGACTAGTATTTGCCAAGATTTCTCCCTAAAAATTGGGACACAATCTGTCGTAACAGGGTTTTTACCGAACCGTCCAAAATTTTCCATCTTAGAAAGGTGTTTCGTTAATAGCGACATGTTATGAACTGCTTTTTACAAACTTATGCTGTCTTAGCACCTGTCACCATTTTAGGAGATATAGCGGAGATAGACGTAACCGCTGTGACGCAGTGCCCTTAGATGATGGTCTACATAAAGCATCATTTCCGACTTACTTTGCCAACCCGTAACTGGTGCATTTTCAATCCCATACAAAAATGGCCTCTCGTCGAAAACTTAAATGAGCTTGTTCTACTCTGCTCTACTTACGTAATAACCTGCCTTTGTGTCAACTGCACTAAGCGTTAGTTGCACGGATGATTCAATCTTATTTGCGTTGCGCAGGGATTACCTACAGTATCTTACCGCTTGCTTCAAACTGCAAACGGTAAGATCATATAAACCTGTATTTCTGTACCGATTAGTGTCTGGTTGCGCCTACAAAGCTGTCTTAGGTCGATTCCTTCAGCTCGCTGCTTATGAGTTCTAAGTGCCCCGGTTCATTGAGTTCGGTTAGGACAGTGGGCAACTGTTCACTGCTATGTCGTGCACGTCGTAGCGTGAAATGGGAACGAGCAGGAAGATGAGTTATCCAGCATTAGTGCCCAGGCGACCTTGTTGAATGTGACTGTTTTTAGTTTAATGTCACAAATGTACCAATAAGAACAACTCGCAACATCACAGGCGTGCGCACCGTGCCACGATTGATGCCGTCAAGATGCACCTTCAAGCAAAACAATTTCCAGTCCCAATAGAACTAACTAGCTTCATTGGGGTGAAACTTCAATAGCTCTGAAGTCAAATGAACACTGCCCATTTCACTCGGTTTCAAAACAGCTACTAAGTGAGTGCTCACAAAATTCAGCAGATCTTCTGGTTACGAAAATTCAACGATGCCGGTGCATTGGTGATAAATCTTATGAATGAGTTCTCAACACAATCTATTTCAACCCACACATCAAGGATGCAACGTACTATACGATTTTATCATTCACAGCAGAAGCCATATCCCCTTCACAAGTTACCTACTCCAACATCACCAACGAACAGAAAACTGTGCTTGTGATGACCTGAAAACTTCGTAATCCCTACTTTTTGATTTCCCTTTTATGAACAACAAAAAAGTAATGCAATAGGCCCATGGAAGCACGCCGAGAAAACCAAGGTTGATTCTCTAATTGAAAACACAATATTGTGTTTGTATGTGATGATTTAAATTCGTTCAAAATGAACTCGTGAACAGTGATAACGCGCTCGTCCCCGATATCACTAGTGATAGGTTGAAGCATCGGATTGACCAAAAGTATGCCTTGCAGATCTAAACCAGGGCTCAGTGGGCCGCTTTAAAGGTGAAAACTAACCAGAATAGCCTTACTGGGGCGGAGGTACAACAGTGTTACAGATACAATTACCACGAATCCCGAAAACACCTCAAGACATGAAGAGTAACCTGTTTTTGGTGATGTCCACTGGAGCCTACAAACCACTTCTGTTGAGTGACCTTGAAAGCTTAACCTCCCCTGTGCTCGAAAATCCAAATTTCGTCGCTTCCTTCGTGAAGTTGTTTCAGGTTGTTTGAGCAGTTACTTCGCGGTGAGTCCACAGACAACTTGATTGACAAACCGCTATGCGATTTATCTGTTCACTTAATATAAACCAATAGCTAAAACACAATTTCTGTGAATAACATTAACGCCGGGCCGTAAAAGGAGGCAAAATAAAACCAGACCTCCACGTATGAGTGAAACTGACAAGGCCTCTTGTGTCACCATTGATCTGGCTTGTAGCCAAGGATTGAACCAGGGAATTCTCGGTGCGTATGCGGATGCATTCTGAGTAAATAAACGTTTACGGGCTGGGAATGAGCAACCCGCTAACAAGTGTCTCTGCTGTCAGTGATTTCGAACGGATGTTGGTTGAAGGATGGGCGGTTGGTGGAGTATCCCGCACTCGATGCCAGGATTAATCGCGTGTCGTGTAGCAGTAGGATGGGCGACCGTGACAGGCATCATAAACGTTTATGCTCTGACTTTCTTCTGTGATCGTCTCAGCGTCGAGACATTCGATCCGTTTTAACCCAGGGAAAAGACTAAGAAGACATTTTTGCTGATTTCGGTTTCAAAATCAGCAATGTACCTCATGTATTAACTGTATGCTTCTTGAAGCAAAATACTTATAATCTGTTGATTGCCAAAACAGCCTGCTGAAGAATGAATTGCACTAAAGGCGATGCGAACCATCTTTATAGTTCTTGCAAACTACGAAGATAAGTTCTGACACTAACTAAACCCTGTAAAATGTAAGCTCCTATCGTTTTTAGATGCGAGGGTGTTAACTACGTAAGTCTGTCCTATAATGACTAACGGAACCACACTCATCACTGTTCCTACCGATGTGAGAAGCATACAGCGTTATCGATTGCAGACCTTTGCAACTGTGAGTAACCTACACTTACGATCACATTTCGTAATATTTTTCTGACGATTTTGCCGACAATTAGCCAAAAGCGTTTGCGCGATTTACATACTGATTGTGAAACACACCAGACATCTCACCGATTATGTAACCAGGGATAGTATTCTTATCAAGATAACAGGAACACTTTCCCCGGATAGCTAGTGTAAAATTGCGCCAAGTGGGTGTGTATATGCATCAAACGAAATTTTTCTTTAGCGCTGGAAGGAAATGGATCATTCACCAACCCTATTGGATGTCTTAAATCATCAGACAATGGATACTTAGCATACATTAAATTACCAGACCTACTGAGAGACCTACAGCGTTTTAACTCCCCTAGGGGAACGTAAACGTTGGTACCGGCGTAACGGCGGATACTACTGATGAGGTATGCGAACAGTAACTGCGCCTCGCGTCTAATTGAAGATGAGGTTTATTACGGAACTTGTGGGGTTAGTCATTGGATATCCACGAAAGTTCAAGAAGACGCGTGAGGATGTTGTCTTTAAAAATGAGGTGCATATCAGATGTTTACTTCCCTGTCCAATAGTTTGTACCAGCTTATTTGGTCTTCACTAATAAAAGACTTCGCAGCGAAGGACTTTCCTCCTTACTCAAGTGGGTAGACCTGCATTGGGTCAGTTGTGGAACCACTTTGGTAACGCTCGAGTCGGGTGATTTCTTTCTGAGTGACTATGTGTGACTGTGTTCGGAAACGTTGCTGGTATGTGGTATCTATTCGTGCTGCCGCTGACGGACAAAATATCACTCCGAACAATTCAGAGAATAACTGGTTTTCATGTGAAGGGCACACCCACATCGACCAAACTACGAAATCCCTGTTCCCTTCGACTATATCGGACACCACCCACAAAATTCTCAATAAATCTTGCCCACACAACGCCTTTACTTCAAACGATGAAGTAAAAAAAATAGATTTTGCTATTTAGACAACATATCACAAATTCGAAATAAAAAACCGTTGCATTTCCAAATTCATAGTTAGGACTACGATTAACCGAAAATACTGTTCAGTGTTAAACAAAAGAAATACGGTCGTTCTGAAGCGGACAATTGATTTCTGTTTGGGAAACACATGGCTGATTTTGGTTGAACAATTTGCCATCAAGATAGACATTGGTAAGTGTCTTTCTCTTATCACTTATTTCGATGAATTTGGTTAAAGTTAGCAGGCAGAATGAGTGTAGACGAAGAACCTAGTTTGCAATAAGTAAAGATTCATAACAATCGAGGCTCTTCTGGTTAAAATTCTGTGTACTGGAATTTTAAACATGAGCGAATGATATCCAAATGGCGACCGTAGCGGCGTCACATGTCAAATCGTCTGTATGTGCCGGAAGTGGCTGATGACTTGTTTTCGTACGGGTTTACTGTATAGCTTTTTCTTCGATATGGATAAACGCAGCTTGGACTGGTCAGAATATAAGTTCAAAAATGATTGTGTACTGAAATGAAGTCTTACCTGAACCGGAACGATAACGCTCTGGATGCTGTTCGTCGAGAGATGGAACAAAAAAGCAGATGCATAGATAGAAATATGACGTTAAAATGAGAAGGAAATTAGTCAATAATTAAATTTTTCTCTGTAAAACAGGTTGTCTCATATCTAGGTATACCAGACATCGTATCTGTGAAGCGGCCTGTCAAGGAATAATGCTAGTGATTTTGCCTGATCATGGGGTAATCGTTATTGAAGAAGAATCTCATCCGTCGGTCATGAAAACAAGTAGCACGTCATTCAGTTCCACGTTTAAATCAAGCGAGGTAGAAGCAAACACATTTCTAGTGTGAGCAGTCCGTTGCATATTCGGTGCTGCTCCCTAAACAAATTATTTGTGCCTGTAGGAAGACAGAAAGCTGAATCACTGGTTGCGGTTGGTGCGCACACAATGATACAAATCCACCTCGTACAACATGGTTTTATTACTCTTAAAGTAGTTTATCAGTTAGAACTACTACATATGCAAGCTAGGGTGTAGGTTTTAAAAAAGCCAAAACAGATGGCTTTGAAAGGTGGGGAACGGCTAAATTCTGTTCTGTGTGTCCTATGTAATCACAGCTAATATTCATCCTGAATATCGTTCCGTAATATCAACTTACTTCGAACTGTTGACTCATAGCTGAGTTCGTTTTGCGCTGCCTCCATTGCTTGCCAGCTGGACTGATAGTATCTGAGCAGCTCACGATGCGGACCTGTAGCATCGGAGAGAATACTGGCAGTAAACTGTGGGTGCAAAAGCGAGACAACTATTTGGGCCGCGAGCAGCGCTTCTTCATGATTTGGGACACTGTTTGGTCGTTGGATGATATTCGGTCCCCACACTGTGGCCAAAGCATCCGTAGACATCCGATTCAGATGTTCATGATCCCGTATATGTGCCAAAAGGTGGATTAGCAGTGTAAGGAGAGTCTGATTGACCTTTGGAAGCTTTTTGATTAATCTTTTGGAAGAAAATCAATAACAGAGGGATTTGTTAGGGTCAATCGGGTGTTAGAATGACAAAGACTGGTGAGAAATTGCGAGTTTCAAGACTTGACCCAAACTATTTGCACAACCACTCACCGCCCAAGCAGAGTACAAGTAGATAGATATGATGTTCATGTGAGAAATATCTTTGGAATGAAACACTAAATGGGTGGAGTTTATTTCTGGAATTTCCTTCAACGCCAGTTTGACATTCTTGATTAATAATCAGCCCTGAACACACTTCGGTATGACTGGATATCACTAGTTAATTATGCAGTCCTCTGTAAAATTTATTTCCCTTGTTCCACTAGGAAGTAATCCACTAAACAGGTCGAACATAAATAACCGAACTATCGGTAACGTGACGTCTAGTTGGGTCGCCACATTTTCATCGCTGATTGTTCCAAACTCGTAACCATTGCCTGCAAGCTGGAAGGGTAAATAGGTAGGGTTGCCCGACGTTTGAACGTCGGGGATTTCTCAGCAGTAATACGCAGTTCTGGCTGGTCCATACCGATTAGTTTGTTCCATCATTAAGCTTTCACAGTACAGTACTGGCAATTATTTTAAAATTTTGAAATAACAGATCAGTGCACAACATTTTTTCAGGTTGCGCGGTGACCATCGATTTTTTGGCGCTTGAAAGAATTACTCAATGTACTCTGCCGTAGAAACAAGTTTAAAAGTAGTGGAGATCGAAATTTCGGCTCCATCCCACTCGGAGAGTGAATCATTACGAACAAATCGATCACCTCACCCGGTCGATGAATCGAAAAATGGTTTACCTCTAGCTTAGTTGTTCTGTACCTAACCAGATCTAACACATTTTTCAGGTTGTGCGGTGACCATCGATTTTTTGGCGCTTGAAAGAATTACTCAATGTACTCTGCCGTAGAAACAAGTTTAAAAGTAGTGGAGATCGAAATTTCGGCTCCATCCCACTCGGAGAGTGAATCATTACGAACAAATCGATCACCTCACCCGGTCGATGAATCGAAAAATGGTTTACCTCTAGCTTAGTTGTTCTGTACCTAACCAGATCTTTGCATGACTATACTGCTCCACTCATTGCCACAATCTCTCATCAGACCCATTGCCAAATCTCAGGGAGGGGTAAGGGCGATTTCGCAACTCTGGTGCGCATACGCACAAATACAGTGGAGAAACAGGGAGCATGTCATTTCAAATAAAGAAAGAGCTTGCGAATGAGTGATCACAACAGAGTTTACTCTCCCAGTCCATTGCTTAGAATTTCATCCTACCGGAAGGAAATTAAGCTCAAAGGACAAAAACCTTAAAAACGATTGTTGCCGGAATGGGTGGTGCTTCATGCTGTCACAAGGATGAAGGACGGATGGCAAAACATCTCACATATATGAATGTTCAACTGGACGAATGAAAATTTGGCCACAAGTTCATGTCAAGTGACGTCACATATGCAGTTTTGGCGTCTTTTCATACATCTTCAGTGCACACTGATATTCACTAGGTTCCCTGAACTCTGGAGACAAGATAGGTGGGAATACGTGAATCGAGGAGGGCCCTCGTGCTACACCAGCTATAACAGCATGCTATGGAGCTGCGAATGCATCATCAGTACTATGGTCAAGTAAAAGCATTACCATTGCATGAAAATATTTTTATTACAACCGTTTATGGGGAGTTATCTCATCGAATGTCGATCGCGTTTTCAAGTTTCTTGGCGTTCTTTCTAACTACTATCATTTAATTTTGAAGAGCATGGAACAGAGATGAAAAGTAAATGCAGGCGATGAATGTGGAAGGGTTGCAGGAGAATTCTGGCTAAAAAGAGGGATGCTTCTCGTTCGAAGTCAGGACACAAACAGTTCCAATCAGACAAAATGAATCCCAACGTATGTAAGAATGTTTGGTATGGAAACGCGTGTAAAGACCAACAACCGAGGAAAGGACGAACAATACTGAATGTTCTTCAAGGCGCAGTAAGCGCTAGCATGGCCAAGACTCGCATATAAAGCACAAAGTGTCCTTCACACTAGGTCTGGTGAGATTCAATGGCAAGAATCATAGATATATATACAAGGTAGCCCTAAGTTCAAGGTAAGTTCTTTGTTAATAAGTAAACTATTAACACAACACGTTAAAACCCATTTCAAACTTAATGTCAGCAACTCTAGATGAGTTTTCACCGCAAATTATTCCGGTAATCTCCGGGATTTCCGCATCACCGGTTTTACCGAATCCGACGAAAATTTTGGGTCAGTTGGAGTGTCACTGAGCCTGTCGACACAGAGAACAAATACAAACATATTAGATTTGGATTACTATGCGTTTATCTCCATCGCGGGAATTTTGACCGACCAGTAGGTCCGCAACTCTACCCTCTTCGCTTATCCGCGACTGATCGCAAAATCAACCCCAGCAAACCTATCCATTATTAGAGGTGGTAACCTATAGACTCTTTAGGCCTGCCGTGAGAAGCAAACTTGAATAAAACAGTCCATTAACCGAGCACTTCCCGAAACCTAACACTATCTGAGCTTCAGCTGCTTCACGGGCGGAAATTATGTGCACAATAGGATTGGTACAGCCTGTGCACAGTGTTGGACAGATTTGTGTAATCCGAAAGTACAGCACACAGGCCGTCTCATGATTCAGTTGGCACGATATTCGAGATATCGCAGTATATTTTCATAAAGGAAACTACTCACAAGGTTGCTGGGAGAATACATAGACGAGAGATTCAGTTGAGTCTCTTGTGAAAACCAAATTGATTTGCAAATGAGTGTATTTCTTGAAAACGTTGCAATTTGCGTTCAGGTAGATCATAAGGTTAATGGAAACCCGGGGACTGCGCCTACCTGATGAGCCCCAAGAAGGGCGAAACCGGTCGTGGGCTGTCGAAGAGTTTTCAGCAACATTGTGAGTAGTTTCCTTTATGAAAAAGATCTGTGTCATCCTTAATCCAGTATTTCCGTCAATCGGCGTTTTCCGCTTCTGGCTTTTATCTCGTTAACCCCTTGAGATATGCTTGTTTACATACAGCTTACACCGTTCTTACCAACAAATGTATTCAAACGATCGATCACCATTTTTTCATTATCTATTCTTCTTAGAGGACGATCTTCAAAAATGTGACAGGTTTCACCTTTGGCCGATATAAGGTGTGGTTTCCAAACTATGGAGCCTTTTTTGTTACATCTGTACCACAAACACCAAAACATATAATTTGTGTGAGTCCACCTTCCAAACATCCTTCAACCGCATAATGATCTGGTATGCATGCTCACTATACGAACAAGCTTCAATGATGGTTTCTATTTTCTACCATGCTGAATCACAAATGGCAGTGGTGAGAAGATAGTAAACCTTCGAACAGAGGTCACAGTCAAAACAAGAGCGTTTTCCTTCAGCTTGGAGTTGCTGCATGACTTCTCCATTAAAGATGCGTCCGTCAGGTTTTTTTTTATTAGAAAACGCTTCTCCGTTAACAGTGATAGGACCTGGGTATTCTGGCAATTTACACCTGGTTTCGGAGGCACGAAAGGCCGAGAAGAGCGAGTTATCTAAACCTATACTGACGAATTCTTTACTCAAAAACACTAGATTTTGCATTGACTCCGAGGCTTCAATCACTCATTCGTGCTGCTGTCCCGTACAACACAATCGGCTCAAAACACATACGTATCATTATGCTTGCACGATCAACCCGATCAGGCTGGACAGAGTTCATGAATGTCGTGATTCGCTTGGGGAGACCAGACGGATTCCGGAGCATATGAAGAGCTGAAACCGGGTTCGTAAAAGTATTTCGTCCAAAATCATCAAAGTGCTGATGAAACATGCAACAACATATTATGCTGCTCGCCATCCAGAATCTTGGAACAGAACACCAACATTTACTTTTATCTTTAGTATCCCTAAATTTACCCTACCAAGACCAATGGTCTGGCACCACATCAGTATGTGTACAGAGAACGAAAATATTTCGAGCCCGGCTGTCTTCCACATGGATTTTTCCATGGCAACCAGAAAGTAAGCAAATCGCACATGCATACGCTGTTCGTCAAAGAAATCACTTGATCTGCTCGGCAGAACTGTTGTCGTTTGCTAAACTTTGCAAAACACGAATAGTTCTTAAACTTAGATTGTCGTGAACGAAATCCACATGAACATATACGCCTTCTACAGGCCTCATTCGAGCAGAACTGCGGGTTCAAGTTCAACATGAATACTGATTCACAATCATTTCAATCATCTCTCCAGTTTTCATTTTCGGACCACATGTGAATCTGTTATCGAACAGGAAGCTGGTCTTAGCACCAACTGAATCTTTTCATTTATCATTTTGTTACATACTGCTACGTGGAATTAAGTAGTACACATTTAAAGCAAAATGGATGCTAGACCACGCCCTCATGAGAGTCACGTGCTTTTCATTTTTCCTATGCGGTTGAAGAACGGATAAGCTTCAAGCAACAACAGCGAAAATGGAACACGTGCATGCATCTGCAGGCGTCGTTTAGATCACAACATTTTAGATTTACTGAATGCGCTGGACACTGATAAACTAGTTTGGCTGTACTCAGTGGTATATGATTATTTCAACATTACCGGGATGCCCTTCTACAGTTCAGCGTTCAGTCAATTAGTCTCGGAGCTCCATTGAAACTCACACAATATGAGAATGAAATAACAGTATAAGACGTATAAACTGTGTGAACTGTGGGGATGAACTTTGGAATGCAAAGTCAAAACTAAAGTTGGGAACTCGCAATACCCAATTCTGGACAAACGAATAGTCGAAACAAGGCTCTATCCGTCCGGGAATGGTTATTATCTTGGTTTAACCGGTTCAATCTAACAAGTTTATTTCGGCTTGTGGCGATTTATGTTCACCAGTGAGATTGGTTCACTGCACTTTCTAGGCCTGAAAGGATGATTCCACAACCGGACAACGACATCATCCAAGAAGAAGTGGTACCGCTCAACACAACTGCTCTTTGGTTGTGCTCTCCATCAATGTTAAAATAAAGAGCGCAAAGAAACCCCACGACATCAATGCAAACAGTCAAACTCTGGTTTCTAATCCTACTTACGCTTCCATTTGAGGAATTCGTTCGTCAACAGACGGAGTGCGCACGACTTGAACCCATTCGTTCCAGTTCTCATCGCCCAACAAATGTCCTGGAATCTCGTTGAAAAATCTCTGTACAGAAACAAATTGAAGCCGGATGTGCGACAAGTAGGTAGAAATAAGGTTTCATGGTTGTCTTTATTTCGAGCACCATTACTACTGTAACAGTTCATTGCACTCCATAATCAAACTTAGCCAACGAAGAGCAAAATTAATGCCGAAGTTGAAAAACCGCAGCTGTTATTCTGAAATCCAAAGTACTAATGAAAAAGATCAACAATGTACACCCTAAACTTGCAGACCTCGAGTTTCTATGCAAAACCCCAAGCCAACATCCTAGCTCACCACTCCGATTATTTTATGGAATTTTGTTGTTTTTCATTGACTCCCAAATGCAAACAAAAGATAAACATCATTGAAAAAGCTCGTCGTAAGTTGTGCTAAAAGATATGAATGTCCATTCTTAGTCAGTAGGTATGTTTGGGGGCATTGGAAGTAAACTATTAAATCATCAACAAAACTGGTTGGTTTTCCGGAATGGCACGGCGAAGACCCGAAGTTATCAACAACTCTAATGGCAGCCCCAACATGCCACTTCAGTATGAACAAATTATCGTTAAAGTAAACATCATTTTTGGACAACGTTTCATAGGATCAACTGACCCAGTTGGGATGAATACTCTTAGCGCTCTGATGGTCTTAGGGTTCACAAAATCAATCTTTGCGCACAATGGACTAGACTTTGCCTAGGTTTACGCAATCTGTGATAATAATCCCTTTAGGTTGATAAACGGCCCATTGTACTAAAGTTGATATAGTTGAACAGCTGCTACAGAGTGGTAATTAAAATCACCATTACTAGTCTATTGGGAGAGGAGCTTGTGGTGCTTGCTAACTGTGGTTCTCACCTTGTCACGATCGATGTATACAAACTAGACAGAGAGTAATTTTATCTTTGCTTTGCTAGTTTATGTTTTTATATATTCACTTTCACCTATTCCTGTCATCTTTTATACTGCAGAGTTACAGTTTGCTTATACTGCATACTTTTGTGCGCCCGCACTAAAGGACGGCTTGCTGTCTTAGGGAGCACAGGTTTCTTTCGTGGTTTCTTTCACACACTGGTGGCTAGCCGGGATAGCAATGATGATGATTACACTGATGGTAGGGTTGTTGTGCCTAACCTCAATGATCAGAAACAAATCAGCTGTTTTTGACGAGTTTCCGAAACCCCAATTGACAGAACTGCAAAGCTGAAGGCAACCTATAGTTCGGACTTAGAATAGAGACCACGTTCATCCGTTTAAGGAAAAACAAGGCGTTTGTTCTATAGTGCTTGCTCTTCCCAAATACCAAGGTAATGGCAGTTATAAGTGACAAGAACGTAATGCGATTAGTCTGCTCACTCATAAGGCTTGGAAAGCACAGTATATATATATATATATATATATATATATATATACAGGAAAATCCTTCTGCATAAGGTGTTAACACTTGAAGCTTCTCGCCGAGTATAATGCATATTTGTTCGTGATTTGCGTTGTTTGTGCCTAGTGGAAGGACAATGTGCCTGCTTACTAAGGTCCAACTCCCTTTCTGCTGTTGCTGTCAGGATGAGGGAACCTGAATCTACAGGCGTTGTGATGGAAGTACAAACGGACCGATCAAAAAACAAAGAAGAATGCTCACTAAAAATGGATGCAGTGTATTCATGGAACACTGAACCACAAAGAAAAAACCAAGTAATCTTTTCCAAAGGGTAGTTCTCATTGGCAACACTTCATTCTCACAGGAAACCGTCATACGTAACATTAATGAAGAAAAATAAACGAATGTTTCAGTCAACAAACCCACCTTTAGTACTCCAGCTGCGACCAGGGGCGGACAGTTTGTTGCATCGATCGGCTCGACGTTTGCATCCACTTTCAGCTGCATTGACTGAACCTGGCTGAGAGCTGTTGATCTACGAAATATGCCTTCGACCTCAGTGCCGGCGTGATAGATGATAACAAACAAGTTCTGTGAAGGCAAAACATTAATATGGCCAGTATACGACTGCTCACATGATATGTTTAAACCGAAAATCATTTGCTTTTGAATCACATTGAAGAAGTAAAACTGGCCTGATGAAATCGGTTTTTCAAAGCCGAGCCAAGCGCTCTTCCTTAACGCACTTTGGTTTATACTTGATCACAGTCTATCTCATCGTGCACAAAATCTTTAACCTATATAGGCAGTAGCTGACTCTTATAGGTTTGTGGATCATTATACTACAGACGATAGAGTTAGTGCTACAGGAGTGCTCGTTTGAGTTATGGACCGTATCGTTTTCTGTTAGAAACATCAGAGACTCAGGCATTCACACAATCTGTGCTCTTTCTTTCACGCTTGGATACGGTTTCATTGAACCCCCAAAGACTAGTTCTCGAGCTCGCCACTCACAATAGGAATCCTAGAACAATTTCGATGGCTATTTTCATGTTGTAGAGCCTGTCTACTTAAGCAAACGGTAAAATAAACATAAAATCCCCCTCTTCCGTAAGTAGGATACACAGAAGTGAAACTTAGTCTAGGCAGTACGCATAGTTACGTAAATATGACGCGTAATGTGATGTAGTGGAATTTTCTTCGTAAGTAGTGCTAGATTCTGAGCCAAAACGAGGAGTAAGGTGCTTCGACAAACCGTGAAACTGAAAAACGAGTAACGTATCTGATGATTCGCAGCCAACTGACAAAACGAAGTGTGAATTACGTTTTGCCACTAACCAGTAGTGAGCTTCCATACAGTCTTATTTAAATGACTTTGTCCCCTCTTAAGAAGTCCTCTAAGTCAAGCTGATGCCATCTGCAACGTTATTCCCACTGGGTCTTTAAAAAGCAACAGGTTTGACGTTAGTGAGTATAGTATTATGAGCAAGTGCCAACTCAAGCTGGTACAAAGGACATGATGGGCACATATAATCTGATAAAAAACGACGCCCACAAGATATGGGATTGCGTGAGAAGATACCCTATTACTACGTAGGGACAGCATATAAGACGTGCCTAGACAAAAACGAGCGGCCTAAAGACGGCTCATAAGGAGCCAGGACGTGCTTTGTTGGATTCGAGCTTTCAGAAGCCGAAGTCGGAGCGGTATCCATTGAACTATCCTGGGGTTGTCCCGGGGACAATCACAAAGTCTCTCATACCAGACTGGTCAATAGTTAGAGTTCTGACAAACACAGTCTACTGGTCCTCCAGGTTAGGGGTCAGAGAATGTGGGGACTTGTTCCCGCTAAACATCGCTACCTAAACCACTACATTGTGGTTAGCCTTCTGAACCAAAGGCATAAGTTGAAGACGCTTACCGTCCTAGGTGTGGGTGCCCTGACAGTATCCCAGCCCACGTAAAACCATGATGTCTACGTCCAACAATAAACTCATGCCACATTCACCGTTGCCTGGTGCCATCAACCGGGTTACCTTACAGCAGCTGACTTTTCCCTTCTGTCTCTTTCACATACTTTATCTTCCATCTCTCCCCGCCCCAGTAATAACCCTCTCCTTGTAGACCCATCACCCATCACTTATATAACATAACAGGATCATGTAAAGTTACTTGAGAAGGCGTCTTAAATAGACTTAGTACCCAGATCCGATAACCCAGTACCTTGGATTCTACTTTCAAAATGCTATATCGTATTTACCAAGTTCATCAACGTCGAACCCTTGCCTTCGAACGAACGTATTCCCAGCAGGTAGCACAATGACTGCAAATAGCTTCTCCACTTGCATTGTTTTGGGTAGCCTCAACTTCGTTGAGAGCGGTTGATAATAACGATATAAATATGATAAGATTCGCTTCTTTTTAATCCTACAGAGTGCTGTGCCGTTGGAGATCTTTCAAGTTCCTGTGATACAGAAGAACTTCCTCAATAGATGTACGCTTCGTTTCAATAATAGTTGAAAACGATGCGACGCATGCTGTTTGGAATCGCCAACAGGGAAAACAGTTGGCGAAAATTTTGGGAAACTTGAAAAGTCTTCTGGGATGTCCGCTACCTGTACTGTTCAATAATAGAGCAAAGACCACCATAATTTTAGTGCATTCAATGAAAATCTAGACTAAAAGGATTTGGTAAGTTGATAATCTTCGACAACCTCTTGAATAAAGAAAACCACTGACGCTAAGGAGAGCTTGCTATAGTCTCCGAGGTCTGTTAGTAAGAATTTTTGGCGAAATAGTTCAGCTTCTTTAAAATGAGCCTCATCCCTAAAACGAGGTCTGGTAACTTTTTCCAATGCGGTGCTCTTTACCTGGTGGCCACTACAATGGTGCCGTGATTGGTTAGAAAACCAGTTGACTGAGTTTCAGTAATGCCTTTGTAGAAATAGCATTTTTCCCCCAGCCTAGTTCAGTCCTTCGCCGAACCACAGTTTGCATGATATCTAGTTAGATTGAGCCTTAAAAGTACTCACCACCAGCGACTGAGGAAGTTTAGCATCCGGCCAGAGTTTGTCCGGTACCCGACCAAATATCTCATACTGATCCGAAGACAAATTCAGACTGCCAGTACTTCGTGCACCACGAAGTGGTGAGGCCAGACCTTTGTTAAAGTCATCGTTCAGTGCCAAAGATGATTTGGTTTTCTCTCGTAGTTCTCCCTTTTGTTTGCGGGGCTTGAAAGAGCCAATGCTGCTGGGATGTTTTTTCAAATCTGACGACTTAGCCATACTCCGAGGACGTAACCGTCTTCCTGCAAGACAGTGAAATGAAGAAATCAAAGAGCGGAAGAAAGAAGCGCAAAACTACACATAAAAGATATGCCCTTCCAAAATTGGACTGATTTTTAACGGCTCGTACTTTTCAGCAAGCACTGGTCATGTCAGCAACATGGTACAGCCAAGTCTTAAACGTCTAGGACAAAGTGAAAAAGGGAATATCGTACTTTTACGAGCGTATAATCGATGAGTCCCCAGCTACGATCGAATACTGTTTGTCAACGATACAACTTTAAGGCGATTCAAACAGTTTGACAGGTGGACTAGTCTACGTTCAGATGAGTCCTTCAAACAATTCAGAATTTTTCAGCATGACCTCAGTAGTATTAGAATGCACCTCTATTTAATTGCCAGCGACTGGTGACAGCCCCAAACAAGGTTGATTCAGTGTCGCCGAAACGTTTGTACCCAGTGTGAAAGGATCGAGTAGTTTAGGCAACTAGATGGTCTCAAGCGTTATTATAATGGATCTCAACAGAAGAGAGGGGAGCCATTTTTCCAGCGGGAAGTTCTGTGACTGAGGAAAGGGGAATGGATCTACCAAATCTACAGATTTGGACCATCAGTAATATTGAGCAAAATGTATGCTCATCAAAACTAACTTGGTATTAACGGTAGACCCTGTTGGGTTCCACCAAGGAAAGGACTAGTCTTGGTTTTTTTAGTTGTCCCGTAGTCTTCTTACTGAAAACAGCTGTCTGCGGAAGTCATCCATGTTGGTGGGGCAAGACTTTACTTGGCATTGGACTTGACACTAATATTGTTCAAAGGCGAAATACCGTCGTTTTGAGGAAGGTACCAGAGTACCAGGAAAGTAGTCTCTGTGTGTGTGATATCTATGTTCCCACAATGCTCTTTCCAAGGTTGCTCATATTACAATTCAAGGAGTTCAAACAGGCTTCTGGTTCTGAACACTTATGTGGAGATAAAACATCTATTGGAATAAAAGGCTAAAACAGTTACCATTCCCAGCCAGGTCAAACCTTTAAACAATTTACGTCCATCTGCACAAACTGAAATAAGAAAATAGGAAGAATGTGCATTTAGATGACTGTAGTTGGAACAATCTTCCGCCTGTCCTGGCTCCGGATGGTCCACATCAGAGAAAGTGAATCACTGGACTCGGCGTTTGCTCCTATTAGAGTTCAAAAGCCATCCACATCATTGGTTACACGGAGATCTGAACACCGAAAACCTGGCATGCAGAACGACCACAAGTGCACACTGGATGCTCAAACAAGCAGCTCGATTGATGTGAATTGTTTTGCCGAACGATCTGGTCATGTTCAATGAAAGACAAACCTGTCAGGATTTCCCACTCCGGTAGCTCAACGGATGAGGGACAAATCCCGGTATGACAGAAAATATGCATTGATGATGACTTCTAATGAGAGCAAAACTCTAATCCAGTGCTTCCACGCTTTGGTGTGAGCTAACCAAAACACTTGCGTTATGACAGGTGACAAATCACAGTCTACGGTTAAAATGGGAAGGGCTGACAAAACAGTAACTGATGGAGTGCGGGCGTGCAGCATGATTCGTGTGGCCCAGGCCGGATTGAAATGAAGCTAGACTGTATTGCCTGACAAGTAGCTTATTCAGCTGGTTGCGCGGTGCCGATCAATCTTGCCACTCTTTCGTTTATTCATTTGGCTGATGTTTTCAACTTTTGGTGTCCCGGAGACCAAAGATTGTGCTCTTTATGTCGGGAGAAAGTATACTAACCTTGTTTTTCTGTCGAATTTTTATCCCACTGTATTTTCACGCAGTAATTACGTTAAGCTACAATAGGGAACCTTATGTGGAGTCACGGAGGAAACTTTGTTCTGAAGGTCTCAATTGTAAGCGCGTGATTTTTTTCGGTTGTAGCCTTACGCTCATTGTTTGGTTCAGACAACAGGGAAGCAAAAAAATCTGCCTCAAGATTTTTTAAGATTACTCAGGCACCAGGGCTCCTGAGCCGAAGTCAGACCAGTAAAGCTCTTGGGTAAAATGTGTCCTTGTAGATACGAATAGCATTATTGAATTATTGGTGCAACAGCTACTAGATATATCACTGTCTTCTCCAACATCCAAGTGGCAGTTCCCTATGCAAATCTGCAGCTCTCGTAACTGAGGTGAGACGCACATACCATGTATGGTAGTTTCGACGATTGCTGTTACATATGCTGACAATATGGATCACCCTAAGCTTTGAAGGTCAAACTATTGTACATGTGCGCAAGAAACGACCCATTTAAAGCGTAGTGGGCTACTTTCCACCATACTTAGGCCTAAATTTATGGACCCCATGCATGCCTTCCCTGATCATGTATATTTTTCACCATAGTTACCTTATTAATAGCTAATAGAATAATTGCTTTCACGCAACTACTTCCGACGAACTTCCTCGAATCGAAATAGAACGCAATGAGAATGCTAGTTTTCCAAGCTTTCATTGATTACAAACAATTTACTAACCCCAAATTGTGGGCCTGAAATCCGAAAAAATGTCAAAGGTGCTGTCGTGTTCAAACTGTATAACGGTTTCGTGACGAGAAAATGACCACCACTTTATTGTCACTAGCTAAAATATTCACGAGCAGGTGAATGGGACAGTTAACTGGCCTAGGAAGCTTTCCACCGTTATTCCCGTTCTATCATTTGAACACCACTTGGCTGGAGTTCATCCTGAACTGCTGCCTCATCCACTTGTATGCAGCAGGTGAACAATTTTCACTTGGTTCGTTTTGTCTATATATGTCACAAATACGTACAGTTGGTGTTTAGTTGTGTTGGGTTCACCTGAAATAAGTTTGGCCAATCTGTACGACGTGCTACTTGCACGTCAGTTGACCATTTAGGAAGATCTCATAGGAGCGAGTATTTGCTTGCTTTTCCTATTTTCTTGCCAAAAGAACGCTCTGCAGAATTACTGATATGTGTAGACGTCTAGCTTAGGTTCACCGTTTCCGTTGGGAATACCTTCCAAACTGACAAGCTAGAAAGCGTCAAGTTGTTAGGGTGCTAGCTAGTGGAAGGAAGGGCAACTCACTGTCATTGAAATTTGATGAGTTCGGTTTCGCCCTTCTTGGGGCTCATCGGGTAGGCGCGGTCCCCGAGTTTCCGTCAACCTTGTGTTCTACTTGAAACCGAATTGCATGAAAATAGCCGTCAAAACCAAGTTCAGCAGCTTCATTTATAGGCCGTAGGCCTTGTCACTACAAGCTCTGTTCGCATTCATGTCTCACGGGTTCTGCATCCGGGTGAGCTCACAAGTACATCTAAGTCGGCCACTCCAGTATGATCGTGGAATGGAACAAAAGTTATCTCTTTATAGAATATGATATGTTGCTTTACCAGAATTTGCCAAAATATCAAAACGGTTGGTCTACCATCAAGCATAACCGACAATAAAGCGTTTCAGTACTAATCCCTTAACCCACCAAAAAGTAAAAATATCCCAAGAACAAAGACATTACTAACAGCTTGAGGTTGGAACATTCTTATTATTCAGTTAAGAACAAGAAAACACCATTTCAGTAAATCGTCATTTTTTTCTGCGTTCTGATATTCATCGGCTGTTTAAGGGTGCTTATTGCCATCTTGTAGAGAGACTGTGTATACATACGCAAACGCACTATTCTGTGTTTGGCTACATAATCCCTTGAGTGAGATCAAAACTTTTTAAATGTGACAGGTTAACTGACCTTTCTTTTGGATGCCTTCCTTGACGCGCAAAATGAATTCAGCATTCACCTGGTCACGAGATAACAGTGGATCCTCGGTGGGTAATTTTGAAACAAACAAATCCCAGTCGGACGTGCCAACGTACTGAGTGACTGCATCGGTCACAAGTTTGGTGAGAAAGTCAAGCGGTTCCGTATGAAATACAGAAGTTGTCGGTGAGGAAGACAAGGAATCGGACCGATCCGCAGACATTCGACTAATCATGTTGTATGTGAGAACTACGGCTATGAGGAAAGGGTTTTCTGGTCCTGCAGTATTTGAATATGAATGAATAAAATAGTAAAATACCGAATTCAGACAATGAAATCAGAAAACGTCACAGATAACGTGCAGAATGAGCATAGAACCCGTGTGTACAAATACCGAAGTCCCGGCCTTCTGACCCCTTTATTACATATCATGGCGTCACAATGTCAGGCATGGTGATACATTTATTGCACATCGGTTGATAAAGCTTTGACGCTGGTACCACGACATGTTGAAGCTTCAGCTATCAACTGGGTCTTCCGCAGAATGTCATAGGGATCAGTGATAGCGTAATTTATCCCGCCGTAAGTTCACACGGAGATAACAGACTGCTAAGCAACATGGAGCAAAAGCGAAGTAGCCTCACGAATGTGCGAAAGTCTTTTGATTTGTACACGCCGCATGAGAGAACTCGAACAAACGTCATATGAGCAGACCAGGAGGGTACAAGGACCACAGGCATCCCCGAAAGTTGGACTTTTCACAACACTATGCAAATCCCCAACCTACAATTGGTCGTATAGAAGGATTGCAAGTACAACCTCAAAATTTGCTCATCTATGCCCCAGACAGATGGATTTGCATGCGTTAGGTTGAAAAAACCGCACCATTCCAATAGAACCCGTATCACCGAAGCTGGTGATGTGTGTGGATGTGTACATGGACACACAGGGATGAGTACGAAAAGGATGTGAACTACCTTGCAGTTATGACAGGTTCTCAAGCCACGATCTGTAATCTCCCAAAACAGTGGATTTTTCACCGTGACTCAATGCCGAATATGTTCCTTTTAACATGCAGTAGACGATTGAGGAATGCAAGTGTGACTGATTTGTACTCAAAAACATCACCAAGAACAAAAAGGACGTAATCACTGTGGCAGTCGTGGGGAGCTATTAAGTACAAACTGTCATGGAAAGGACGTGGCAGTCGTGGGGAGCTATTAAGTACACGTGAAACTGTCATTGGTCAGGTTCATTAGGATACTGACAATTATAAGAAAGTAATTAGATGCGGTGATTTACCAGAAGAAGATTAAACTGATAGGTTATGCAGAATACGTTTGGAAGTGGATTATGGAACGGTTATAAAATGTTAATTGAACTAAGATGCTAATCCGAACCAGACGCGTGAACAAGTCTTTTGAACCTATTTATCGCAATATCATCTCAGACCGTATGCGACAAGTTTTAAGCCCTTGAATATTGGGAGGAATCAGTCCTATCTTGTCTACTCCTCATACGGATAAATTGCTTCATCCAGAGCAATCTAGAGCAATAATTCTCTCCTCGAAAAGTGATGAATCGAGAATTTCCTCAAGGCTTCTCACCTTGGGAAAATGTTTCATCATATCCTTTATTCTAGTAAATTTGATGTAAACTCGTCTATTGTATATCTAAAATCATGTGTGACAAACAAACAGAAAGTGATCAATGCACACGGATTCATTTACAGAATGTCGGCACCCGCGTTCAGTGGCGTGGGTATGTCAAAAGAGATTACAATACCCACCGAGTAGAGTGATTTCTTTCTGCTCACCCTGATCATCAATAAAGCGGACCAGTAACTGTACATCCGAGGATTTCTGTATGGAAGTTTAAAATAGACGCGCCAGTAAGTTTCCATAAGCAAACGTGCATTATATTTAAGAAATAGACATCAGAAAACCAAGATAACATAAGCATGGTTCGATATTGTGGTACATGCTTCGAAATTCCTGATGAGTTGAAGTGATATTATACAATGCGAATTCGTTTTTTGAATCTTTGAGTCTAGGTACACGCAGCTTGAAGGGACAGGCAGATTTGGAGTTGAACCGGAAACGCTAACCTCTCGCCTACCGAATGGGCACCGTATCGAATGAGCTATCGAGGACGCTTGTCCCAAGTCATGCCTATGTGCTTGAACTTCTCCAATTGATTTGCCTCAATTCTTCCAGTCGTTACAAAAGTAGCCGAGAAATCAATATGCTGATCCAAATTGCAACATAATCTTGGATTATATCAAAGCGAATGTCCATTTGGTTTCACCAGACGTGTGGAAACACTTCGTCTTTATGACACGGTATTTCTACAGTCTTTCACCTGGTTTCACCAGACGTGTGGAAACACCTCGTCTTTATGACACGGTATTTCTACAGTCGGTAGACGTGTGTGGAGGTTTAACCATTAAGGGTACAGCATGCTTATCACGGACGAATATACGCGTATTACAGGGCAGCTATCCACAGGGAGGATGAGTAAGGAAGTAAGTGCCTTCAGGGCGTACACGGCGGTACATGTACTGCTTCCAAACTGATAAATCCACTTTGCTAACGATTGCCTCGTGTACTGAAACCTTGTTTCAACATTTCAGCCTCTCACTAACATCCTACTGGACTGTTAAGTCACTTTATACGCGGGTTCAGTTGAATCCCGTATCACGGAACGATCCACTTGTTTGAAGTGTAGCTTCCTGAAAGTTGTTTGTCTTCTGCATTCCAGTGAACCGACGAGTCTGACTGATACGTCACAAAAGAATATAATACATCACGAGTAGCTTGATGTATGTAAATAACAATGAGGAAAACGTCTGGCAGCTAAGCCATGGTCACTGGTTTACATGTGAACTTATTTCGATATTAGTTGCGATATCGTCTTCAGCTGCGCACAATCAGATTGTCAGCTTGTCTTCTAAAATCGTAACAGCCTGGAACATTAGGGACTCAGGTGGCTAAATTCTAGTGATCTATGTGTTTAGATAGACACTCACTAGTACGGATAAAATCTAGTGTCAGATAGATTATGCGCTCTTGTGTGCAGAACGGCTATAGTTCAGCCACCCTGGGACAAGCAGCACCGGAACTGTTGTCTTGAAACCCGATTTTGTGTAGCGTGTGAAGATATACTAACTGAATCAATAAAATTCCATCGACACTGGGAGCCGTACGTTGGACCAAGTTGTTTTTATTGTTCCGTTAAAAGTTCGCTTCGGGGTGGTAGGGGACGGACTAGCCGATCTTAAGAAAGAAAGTGCTTAAACTTTTAAAAACACGTAACGGGGAGACGAGCAACGAGCCTGCGGTAAGCAGTCAGCCTTGAGTAATTTCGTCTGTATGCTTCTTCAATCAATACAAGCGATTTATAACTTGCTCGCTCACCAAGATGACGAGGTGAAAAATTTAAAAAGATTCTGCTTTTGTAAAAGAGCACAGGTTGCGACTTTGTTTGTCTGTTTGCTAGCAGCAAAATCCCCACCACTGCTAAGTTGAATACACCAGAACAGGCAACTCTCAGGAGCAGCTGCCTGGGTTTCCCACGGGGTCAATAGATCATAGACTGCCGGCATCTGGGTGAGGGATCAAATTCCATAGTACCACCATGACAACGAGCTTAGAATTATCAGATGAGTGAGTGTATTAAGATTCAGAAAGACCATAAACCTGTGACGATTGTCTTCATAGGATCTGGTAGAACAGGGTAGTCGTGATGTAAAACGCAACCTATCCCAACTGACAAATCATGAGACAATAAAATCTTGGAAAAATATACTGGGTAGCTGGTAGGCGCACTGCATGAATAATGCTAACAAAAGCACGATCAACTTCTGAAAGTTATCTAGTCGATCTGTTTGGCAACCATCGATTTTAATGACCGGTACATCTACTGAAAATTTAAACTGGACGTCGTTTTCGGCTTGACATCCTCCGTCACTGGGATATAACCATAATAAGCCCGCGAATGAAAGATGACACATAACAGACCGGTGTGTTCATAATAACGGTTGTATGGTGCTCAAACTCACGTCAAGGTTCATTGACTGCAACGCTCTGATTATGAGGTCTTCGACATTTGTGTGAATATCTACTTTAAGATATTTGTAAACGACCTGTAAATTGAAAAACAGAGGACTTTCATGGATCTTGTTCAGACGTATAGCCGAGTACATGAAAAGTGCAAATGTTCTCAGTTTACCATATAGGATATAATTACTGGGCACAGCACTGAACAATATTTCAGCCCTCTGCGTCAAATCTTATTGGGTACGGATCACTGGTCAGAAGTCATCCGTTTTGAGCCGAGCCACAGGCTTCCGTCAGAATTCGGAACTCCCAGTACACTTCCTGTCCTGTAACAGCAGGCAATATGTGAATACTTCACTAGAATCTATCGGTCGCAGAGTTAACAAATAATATGAGAGACGGAAAATGCAAAGAGGATCGAGGAGGATGCGCCCTTAACCCTGATGAAGATGGCGGTTGTTTTTCAACATTTTCTATGCACAGAATGCTAGCTGTCTTTATTGATAGCCAGCATCCTGTAGGCGAGAGACCTCTGGGTTGCTTCGCGTATCAAAGTCGGAGGGGAAATAATTTGTTCATACTTGCTACTTCCTGCCACGACATAGTTTCACATAGCTGAAGGTGGAAGTCTTGTCACAAGCTGTTGAGTACATGGATTTTACCGACGGAATTAGCTACAGCAACACAGCAGGACGGATGCCGAGTTAACTGCGCGTGAACCGATAGATCGCGTATGAAGGAGGTAGACTGAGTACAGCAACAGCTCGCTTGAAATACAGTCTCATTCGCGCTTGGACAGAATCTGTTCGACCGGGTGGTATTAATTCAAGGCCGATAGATTTTTCTTTTCTACGGAGTAGTCAATTTTGAACGGCGAATACAATGGACAGCTCGGTTATCTGAATATGGGGCTTGTTTCAAGCGACTGCCTAGGCATACACCGATAAACCTTAGAGTGAAGCCATATACCACATACAAATTAAACACCGAACAGAATCCTGGAGCTGTATTGGCTCAAACCCTGTTTAGCTGAACAATTGAGAATGTATAAAAGCTGGGCAAGTGCACGGTTCTTAATCCACGATGCTTAGTTCGCACCGTCGATCAGATAATGCTTCATTAGCTGCAAATGGTTTAGGGAATCATACAATCTGCATTCACATTACTTTTCTTGGAACGCTCCTCCTTCAATCTTAGTGAATTACTACGGTTAGTCTGAAAGAGAGAAAGACTATGGGAATACAAATTCTACAAATCCGGCGACCACGCACAACTTGCTAAAAATTATCCGGCAGGTTTCAGGTGTCTGTGACGCTGTGTCATGTGACGGTGTCATGACTGAAAAGTCATGACAATTGGATCAATCGATCGACACAACCTGGACAGTTAATGGATAGCCTTTCGAGGTGATCGACAAGTAAATCATATTGCTTAAGTGTGAACACACTCGTCTGTTCGGGCGTGGTGATTCAGATGTATCCAGTGTGTGCTGGTGGAATAGCGGTAACACCGTTGTTCCGTAGATCGTGTGTCGGGGGTTCAAATCTCGATATGACCAGGTATACGCATTGCTCACGAGCTATAATAGAGACGAAACTCAAGTATCCTCGTCTCCTAATGAAAAACGACCGGGGTAGTTGAACCAGGACAGGAGGAGGGCTGCTCAAACCAGAGTCATGTGATACCAAGCCAGAGGATATCCCGTTGGGATCAGGACCAGATTCATTAGCACGGAGCAAGCGCATACACAACTTAAACAAACGCCCACATTGTTTGCTAATCTTCAAACTATGGGGAGTCACACTTGATCCCATATTATAGGCTATTGAGAGCTACTTTACGTTAACTCGGACTATAACCCGTTTGATGGGATCTTCCAGCTGCGTATCCAGCAGGACGGGAACAATCGACAATGTTGGTAATTCTGATCTTGATAGCTGCAGCTGACATTCCCTATGAAAAATGGGAATCAACCCTTCAGTTCAGTTTTTGGTATTCCTTGATTGATGTCGATGGTGTGTAGAGGCAGAATTGTGAGCACACATGTGATGTCCAAAACTTGTAAGGTGTTGGTCCTGAGCATTCAACTGCGCTGTTGATGGTCAGCTCGAAACTATATGGGTCATCAGCCGTTGGCACCCTGGTTTTAGTAGTTATACAAACCATTTGTTATTACGTTTTATGGAGAGCTTCTATTTGATATGATGGTCGAATAGGAGCGTTTAAACTGTGTAGAATTGCGGCAGCTGTGTTTTCCTGGATGTCAAGGCGCTGGTAATAGTTTTTCTAACAAATTCATCTCCCAGTGAGTTCTGCAGCTCTCAATATACCTTTACCGCATTATTTTACTACTTTTACTGCATTATTTCTCACGATCACATCTCACCCGTTTTGCTTAACCACCTAGAATCTCATCATCAAGGTTCGTCAGGGTTCATCAAGATGAAACCTGACCCCTTGTCACACTGCAGTATGACAAACTGGTCGTTCACATTCGATTCTTATAGTGCTCGCACGCAGTTTCCTATCAAGAGACTTTTGTTTACGGAAACTACATATCTACTGTTGTTCTAAGTCAGCCATCTTCATTTCCAACCACAAAGGGTGGGTTTTAGACCCAATAGCTTGTGGAAAAATACTCGGAGTGCGTCCATGATTCGATGCCTTTCATTTTTTGACGGAATGCAGTATTTCAAGCACAGAAAAAATACCTTAGCCACATTAGGGCTGGGCTTAACGAACGACAGGTTTGCACTGTGGATACCGGGGATAAATGAACTGAGCTGTTCCAACGACTTCAACCAGATCCTATTGACATCAGCAACCTTTCAACGTCCTGATGATCAAGACTCTTATTCTGTTTTGCCGTCCCATTGTTCCATCATGGTTCCATCGCCCTAGAATATACACCTAAAGAGACAAAAAGCTGCGTTCTGAGACAGCTGATTTCTCTGTGCTCTCTTCAAACCTTGAAGGATTTGAGCAAAACTGGTTGTGCATGTTGATCGGAAAAGAGATTAGTTCGAATCTGCTCCATCGTGTGAACGCGTTTTGCATGATGTGTGAGTATGTGGTAGTTTCTTCCCAGAAACCATTTTGGGTGAATAACAAGTAAACCATTATGCTTTGGTTGCAAGAACTTTTGTTACCTCCCACCATACGATTATGAGTTTCATATAGTGCTTCTGCCAAAAGACGTACAATCACGAAAGCTAACAAACTTCTGGGAAATACCCTCAATTCAGAGGAAGATGCTCTGAGAAATACGTGTGCAGCAGTTCTTTGTAAACCCAGGGTTGAGAGCATCCACATGCTAGGTGGGAATCTACCTCAAAAATCGTTCCTTTGATTCCATGTGAATAGGCTATCGAACAAAATGATGAAGAGCAAATCACTCAAGCGTCTCAACTGTCAAATTTTGGAAGGTGATGAGGAAATCACCCCATGAAACAGAAAAGCAACAAACTGAATAAATACACAAGGCTTTCAGTGTACGCTTTTGCCTGATTAGCTGAGATTTTCGTTAGTGCAAAACGCCTTAGTTCCACATTCGCTACTGTCCAACCGTTATCGTTGTTAAACATACGTGCCCATCAAAATCCCACCAAACCTGGAAGCCATCTATAATTCTCGGCTCGTAAAAACTGACTATCCGGGAAACAAAGTTGTCTACCCCCTCTTTTTTGGGCCACGTAAGGTGTTTGAACCAGACTCCTACTAATTTATGTATATGTGTAATTTCCATGGGCTGTATGAATACGGTTACTATAAATTACACCACCGAACTCATAGTTTAAGGCGCGTCCCCAAAGTGATTCAGTTGCAGTTATAGTATCATCGGCCTTCAAACCAACGACTTTCAAACGGGCACTTTGGCTTGACAGCCCAAATCGCGACTCGAGCATGAGGTAGCATATGCAACCCGTTATCAGGCTGTTATCATCTTGTAAGTACTTCTTTTGTGAAGTATTTTATCTCTCATGATCCAAAGAAGCTTGAGACCGAGCAATTTTGCTCCCGTCTCGGAATCATATTCTCTCAAGAGGCAGTCATTTTGGGGAGATTAATTTGTTTGTCACAGACGTTTTCCAAAGTAACACGTTCCGAGGAGTGATTGGGTCCATAATCACAAGATCCGCTGTTAATAATACTACCTAATAATAAATGGAATTCAGTTTTGTTCATAAGATGGTCATAGTTGCAACGAAAAACAGCCGAGATTGCACAACCGTGAAGCAATAATTAAGTGCACCATTTACACACAGCGCCGTTAGATAGGGGAGCATTGCTGACGTGCCTCAGTTGTCTTAAACTTTATTATGAGAGTGATGGCATCAAAACTACGGAGCTCCCCAAAGCTAATGACTAGGACTCGCGTCTTTTGCGCTTGACGTTTTGAACCTTAGTCTTGCTCATCAGCGAATTTCACACGGTTTCAGACACCAGTCACTGGTGTATAAAGTGAATGCCATTTCGAAAACTGTCGTGCTCGACCTGAACTTGCAACTGACCACAAGTGCATGCTCTTCTATGTATTTATATTTTCGAGCCAATTTTGTTGCTATGGCGGTTTTTAGATTTTGTGGTATCGAGTGCGACACTTTAGGCGTTCCTAAATGGATTCTCATATTGTTGTACTAGGTAAAGGGACAATTTCATCAGAGCAGTTAGAATGCTTTTGAACAAAACACCAAATATGGAGGTTTCGGTAGCAAGTAAGATTCGAAGTTCTGGAAGGGCTTTCGTCAATGTTTGTTGAAAAGCGAAGAAGCATGGCAGCGCTGCTTCTTTTTTGTGCGACATTATCAACGCTACACACCTGATAATCGGCCAGCAGTGACCTATCGGTTCAGTAAACTGAGTAATATATGAACTCACTTGATTGTCTGCCACCTGATTGAGGATTTTCACGTACAGGCTCCGGCAACCGAGTATACCGCGTCTCTCGGAAATTGCACTGCAAAAGGAATGCGGTAAAACACTTTTAAGGGTTGCAGAAACTGTTCACTAGTCAGTTTCATGCCCTTTTGAAATATGTTACTTAGTAATCTCCGATTTGGACTTATATGGTAGCTAGCACCAGTTGGCAAACTAAGGTCAGGTAAACCTGAGACTCAAATGAGATTTTAATGACAATCAGCCAAATGATATAAGCGATATACTAATTTGAGTTCCATGTTTGTTCATGCGTTAACACGATTTTAGTTTGTAAATAATTGTTTTGACTCACAAACAAATAGTTTGTTCTCGACACCGACCTAATATTATTTGAACCTGATGAGGTAAGCAAGTCCTTATCTGCTTATGGCTAATCGATGCTTCTGAGGAAATCTAAGAACCAGTGGAAATCGGCCGTAAATGTTTTGGCAGCTGGCTTCCCGATTACCTTGACTTGTGTGAAATAAGCTCGGCTGAATGAAATTGGTTCCCCGTGAACTTTTAAAATGCCCTCAGATGAGCTCGGAATACATTAAACTGATCTTGATGTTTTGTATAAGGATACAGTTAAAAACCGTATAATTTGACTAATATTTCTTTCAATCAATGATGCCAACGTGAGCATTAATCAATTTTACGTCCTGTTCTGCGACGGCTGCGAAGGCAAGCAGGTGGATGTCAACTGGTCACCGGATTATTCATAAAGAGAAAGAGTTATTAACTGGTACCATATTTGGTTAAATGTAGACAGCGTATAGATCTCCGAATCAAGCGCAGTGAAGACAAAAGGAGTATGTCTCATCATTTCGCTTTTTACTTCTCGGTAGATGCATATGTAGCCAAAACATTCGCGGCTGTCTGAATTACAGAACGACTGTCTACTAGATATTAGTACTAATAGCGTATGCAGTGTGGTACCACAACAATGGACACAGGGCGACACTGACGAAATGGCATCATAACTCATGGTTTACCTTCAAGTACTTACTAGTGTTTGAGGTTGGAGGACCAACTATAGTGAGGCAAGTCCTGTAAACCCAGCTCACTAAGGGCTGAAGTCATACTCCCCATAGCTACACCTAAAGTTTGAGGCCATGGTTGTCTTCGCTGTGTCGTACCGGCTGGTATGTTTAGGTTTGGAAGGCAACAACCGCTCTACCAGATATTGTCCAGAAACCTTATCAGTCATGTGTATGCTTACGACTCTTGAGTACCAGTATTTCATCTCACGGTTCAAGATCAAAGTGTGAAAGACACAGGTCACGAAACAGGATGATGCATTGACCAAGTAACCAACCCGGGTGATGGACAAAACCACACAATACGTTTGAAGGACAACAGTTGCACGCATCCCAAAATAAATCAACCTTCCGTAGGATATTGCACAGTGGTCTCACATGTTAAACCCTCACTTTTTACTAAAGAACCCATTTAATTCCAGTCCATCATGAATCATAATCATTACCAGTAGAGGGGACGGAAACTAAAAACAGTTAACAAAACGGAACACATCGACTGACATCTGACAATTTGATTTTCAGGCAATTTATCGTCGAAGACAGCACGCTGAGTTGAGAAGCACGAAGTTCAAGAAAAGTCAGAGTGATGCCTGTTTGTTGTGGTTATCTCAGGTCTGTTGATCGCTCCACTCCGTCACACTTTGCTTTTCTTGCCGTCATTATTACCATTACCAGGCTTCTCCTTTTTACAAATGAATCATTCCAAATTTACTGAAGCCTGCGAAATGTGTGCTTTACTCACAAGTAGTAAAAAGACTCGTTTGGAGGATTTTTCGTGTGATTCATTGATTTGTATTCACAGTGGCCGCACCCGAATGGTATATGAGAGTATTATGTAAGGGCTTGTGTCAATGTGAATCTTCCTCCAACCGATTCATAGAGTTATTTTCCATAATTTTGGGAGCACAGTCTAGTTTCGTCAAGATTTTCCTGATGTAAAGCGGTATTTTGTACATATTTCTCAAATTCGGATAGCAAACTATATAGTGTTTTGGTGATACTTTTGATGAAAGTGATGAGATGATAGTGAAAGTTTCTGTGACCTTTAATTTTGACACCATTTTTAGAGCTCGATTTCAGGCTGAAAGTTATATAGGAGATCATGCAAATATTTTTAAGTGCTCTGGTTAGCGCATGAACAGGTGCCGACGGGAAAGCAGTAGTTGACATGGTAGTCTAAACGGCGTTTGTGATACCGACCGCTGAGAGACAGTAAGTGGAGTTTCCTGCCACTTTTGTTTGGTAGTCGATGAATAGCTAGTTGAAGCTATAGAGGAAAACGTTGGTAGCTCAGGTGGCGTAGATGGTCGTTGATTTGTTCGCTGAGCTGGACAATTTGACTGCAAACGTTTCCACACCACTCGAGGTGACGTCATCAATGCGTTACCGGGGGCGTAATGGTGCGTAGCGATGGGTTGGTTGTCGTGCCTTGTCAGCAACTTCACCATTCTTCTGCCATAGTGCCTTGCTAGGGCCCAGGCCTGTGGATGGTCTAGTACCGGTCTGTGATTAGTACTGGGTGGCAGCACGTTCCTACGTAGGCATTCACGGAGGAACTGTAATTGTGCACGTGTAGAGGCTTGTCAACAGGCGATTTACCAGCAACGAGCTTCTTTGAGCGTTGTACGCCCGAATCGGTATTCTATAGAGGAATATATTGGTGGCTCAGGTAGTGTAGATGGTCGTCGGTTTGTTCGCTGAGCTGGGCTGAGCTGAGCTGAGCTAAGCTGATCTGGGCAACAACAACTAACCCATCGCTACGCACCACTACGCTCTCTAACAACGCACTGGTGATGTCACCTCGATTGGAGATGAAACTTATGCAATAAAATTGCCCAGCTCAACAAACAAACCAACGACCATCCAGTTGCAACTTTTTATACGAAGACCAAACTAGGATGCTGTGATTATGGGTAGTCGTGGCAACAGTCACAAACACAACAACAGTCGCTCGCAAACGAACTTTGATCTGGTGGATCACCGTATCTTTATCAAATCGTTATACACTGAGTAGGTATCCATCAAATCGTTACACATTCAGTGTGATACATGCCAGGTTTACCTACTCCTACCTATCCTAATTAGCTCATAATAGATTATTCTGAATTTATGGTTACGGGGTTATCGAAATTGAAACGTTACTCTCTGAAACTTTGAACCGTCCCTCAGTCTCGTGAGAAAATCACATATATGTGCTCCTCGTTTAAGTTTAATCTATCTGCTGTAGCGTTTTCGTTACGCGGAACTGTTTCATATTCCGACCGGTACGTCCTTCTAAGTCAAATATAGCAGTAAATCTCGCGGTGAAGTTTAGCCAAGAAGCTTAGACTCTTTGGTGGATGAACATGCCACTTTCATTAATATTCTATGTATATTCACGTGCCCACTGATTAATCGATAAGCATCTATTTTATGGGTTAATAAACCATATGATGCACGTGACCTCTCGCATGCACTTTACTCGCACACCTTCCAACTACTCACAGGGTTGAGGTCACCTCAGTATTGATTTTTAAAAATGTCACAATCGATGGCTTAAAAATCCACATCTCGTGTGACTGAATTCAGCAGAACTTTTGTGTTAATATTTTGAACGAGTTTCAATACATGGACAAAACTGCGCTATAATCGTAACCTGACGACGTTAGACTTGGAGAGTGGGGTGCCATTTCCTTACATATTTACGGAAAAAAATTGGTTCTTGGAAGTCTTCAGGTCTCGAATCGCTAGGTTGTCGACTACCGTTAACACAAGGCGTGGCGGTGAGCAAGCGTTCAGCAAAGCACGTAAAACACGCCTCTAACAAAAGGCCAGCTACTTGCCTCAGTCCCTAAAATACTCGGAAACAACCAGAAACACTTCAAGTTTCATCATATCCAGTTCGATTGTGGCAAAGACTAAATGGAGAATTGATCATCCGATGTTCTTTAAGGGGTTCAATACCTTTTCAAATAACCTCAAGTGTTTTTTACCAACGCCGATACAGATTTGTTTTAGCACCAGTTTTGTCCAACAACCTAGCTTAAACACTTTCGTCTGAGCATTTACATATGAGGCTATTCAAAATGTTCCTCGTGATCAAAATAGAACTAAGCTGATTACGCGTCGAAATAATGCCATTGCATTCTATTTAGTTCAAATACTAGAATTTCAACACCAGCTTTAACTGTCTTACAAATATCAACTGTAATCCATGCCCTGCAGGTTCTGGTTTATTTATTATTGAATCTTTAAACATCGAGGTTCTGGTAACTTCATTTGCATGTTTCGATTAAACGACTGAAGTGCAGCAAGTAATATGCATTGTGTTCTGCGTGGTTTTAGAAAAAGTTCGATTCGACTGTCTTCAAAATAATCCCAACATTATGCAGTAGTATTTCAAGTCTGAGTGAGTTCAAAAGGTGGGGAAGCACAAAGCAAAATCGCGAACTTGGTGTTTCAAAAGGTTATTATATTTACCAGTAGATAAAGTCTAAGATTCCAAGAATTTATGTATCATTATCTGAAGACATGTGTGGGTCATAAACCTGCACAAGACAGCTACTACTGGTTTCACCAAGGTTGAATTCAGTTCAAACAGCCGGTTCACTGATTCTACACAGAATAAAACTACTTCCCTGATATCTGCAAGCTGAATGTCGCCGAGCTGGAAACAAACGACTTTTCCTATATCGACCGCGTCTACAACCTTCGTAAGCCATCCTGGTTTATCCTGGCAGAAAGCATACCTCCGAAAAGGTGGAAAATTGAAAAAACAAATTGCAGTTGCCACCGAAGCACGCTGATCATCTAAAGTAACCAAAAGTCATTCAGACTGGCAGAACATGAAACGCTGACTCCCGTTTTCGTTAATGAGGTTACGTAATGGTGTGAACATGAACCAATAAACTGAAAGACCACTCTCTAGGTTCATCACTCGACAGGTGGTCCATGCATTCGGTTCGTAGAACCTTGAATGACAGAAACACACGAATTAGACCATCAATAGTTCAATAGTGCACGACGCAACGGGAAACCTCTATATTTCTATCGATTACAGTAAGGCCAAGTGTTGGATATAGTCCCAAAGAATCGTTCAGCTGTAGCACCCTTTCGGTGCCTAGCTGCCATGCCATAAGAAGGAGACACGAGGGTTGGGAGACTGCCAGGTTGCCCAAACCTAGACAGGGGAAGTCGATTGGCGGAGGTCGGGTTCGAACCACGAACCTTACGGCTTACGGCCAGAAAATTCGCGCTCAACCACTTTGCCCTAACTAGCCCGCCTCTTACCGCTTACTTGAGTGTGGTTTCTACAAAAAACAATCTCTTTGAGATACAAACTACAAATACAACCATCATTCTTCAAAATGATCGTAAAGGAAATATTTCCATACTCGTGTAGTTGTCTTCTCCAAACTTTATGGATTTGGCTGCTTGGGAATCGAATGATCCAGTTTTCTGACGGTGGGCAGCCAATAAGCAACATCTCGGAGTCAGTTTCCGAGACGCTCAAATCTGCATTCGAATCTGATTCTGAAACGGCAACCGCCTTCTGATGGTTTTCTGACACCGGATTCATGGCAGATGATGGTGTTATCAAGTTTTGGAAACTGGCAAGTTCCATTTTTTTCTTCATACGAGCGGCACCCTCGTAAATCCAAAGTTGAGATAGAGGTAAGACGTATTGAAATCTGGCGAGAAAGTGAGTACTTCGTTTGCGAATAGACGATTCTGTGATAAACAGATGTGTGGAAGTGAGACCGATGGTTGACTTTCTAAAGTTGTCATCGTGGAGTTCTGTACTTCCATCCGACCATCCAAGCGGGATCTAGACAATATAAAACAGAATCCAATACACCGTACTTTGAGAATACACAAAATACCACGGTTGTGAATGAGCTGTCATACATTTATGGTAGAATTTTCATCCACTAGTTGTGGAACTAAAAACAAAAAAGTTGTCCCAAATAGAATAATCCTTCAGCAGTGGCCTTCTTCCAACAACCCCATTCAACCTCAAGTGTCACTTTGCTCAAACCTGGACAGCCGCGACAGAACGACTGGAACTGGTTTCGAGTACCTGATCTCTCAGTAGAGAAACCTTTTCTCGATGCCCCTCCGCCAACTGGCTGTATCAGTTTCAAAGACGTTTTGAAAAATCCATATTTCCTAACTTTGGTGAGTCAAGACGCCACCATTTCTGTATTTCTATACCATAATCAGGTAATGATTGTCACCGGCAGATGCAAACTAAGTAAGATTATGCCCTAGTTTAACTCTCAGAAAAGTCTCCACTTCACCATGATTACCGGAGGTTTGTGAGCACGTTTCATTTAGTCAAAAGCAATCATTACCGAAATATCATAATGGTCATGAAATACGGCAGTTTTTCTTAAACCTGTTTATTTTACTTGTCCACGTGTTATGAATAGTCATAAGATTTTTGCTTCACTTTGGTTTAAATCCTCGCTAACTTTAATAAACAGCAAATTGGCTAGCCACCAGACTGCATACATATCTAGTACTTGATTCTCTCGCGGTGAGTTGGGCCTTCAACCAGAAAATGAAAAGAATGAAGTGGGATCTTGGTATTCTGACATACACGAAGTATGTAAACCTTGTGATCTCTGAGAATCATGCTACGGTCCGGACAAACGGTTCCAATCTCAACCAACAAGAGGCTCAATTGGGTCGAAGGCTCTAGTGTGGCTACACCTTCAGGAATTTCTCCACGTACTTTCTAGAAGTGAATGTCAAATTAAAATGTCCATGGAACATCGCAAAATCTTTGATCAGTGTGTTCTTTGTAAGCGTGGTTAGTGCATCAGTACACCACGATGGTGTCTCCTCGTTTGGAAACGAAATGTTTGGAAGTTAATTGACAAGCTTGGTCAACAGTTCAGCAACCACCTGATCAACAAACAATAAAGGCACCCGAACTATCATTATTTTGATACATTGCTTGCGAACTCTCAAGGGCTATCTTCGATGTCCGGAGGCAAATTGTGTGGGAGTTTTTCTTCGACATTTTCAAACTGCCTGACCTGTCAGTAATGAACCAATGAGCATCCTTAAGAGTTCCGAAATTCTTAATTACAGGCCTTGATAGTGTTCCCAAAGGGCAACATAATTCCACCTAATGGAGATCATTCCCGATGGGAAACCCGACCGATAAAATCACCTTCAAGGACTACTGAAACTCCATCGAAGCAAAATTAGCTGTTCCTAGGTGTTTACATTACTCCTAAAGACACGTGGAAACGACTGAAAGGTCGTCGATTCAGAAGAATCCGAAAAACTGAATCTACCGATTGCTTTACTAGGATTGGTGTCAATTCCCTGTAGTCCAATGATCTTGTTTAGTAAAGCCACATGCATACTAGTGCGTCAACAAACTGAACACACGATAAACATCTAGGTATTCACTTCTGGTTTTTTGAAACAAAATACAAATAAGATGGTGGGTCCGTAGAATGTGGTGTAGTTAAGGTCCAAAGTACTACTCAACATTCTGTTTGACAGTGCGAATGCAACTTGCACAGTTACCCTAGGCTGTGTTCACCAGACGTCGGTCAGTGGAACATCCTAGTAAGAGAGAATTTCCAGCAGGCACGTAGGCACCCTGCATCATAGCTCGAACAGTTATCGGATTACAAAGACGCTGCTATCATCACTAATCTGAACATCTTCATGATGGCAACCTTAAAGAGGACTACAGAAGAAGAAAAAAGATGCAGGAAACTTCTAAACTGTGGCTGTCAATGGCATATGGATGTCAAGTGAACACGGGCAATATACTTGTTGACGGACCGGATACAATGGGACAAGCGGATAGCACTGAAAATACTTTGATAGACTGATGCATGTATTTTCGGTCATTTTTGTCACCATATGTCTAGCGTGATCAATGAAACGTACCTTGAAATTCAGAATTTTTTCCTCCCGATAAATCTTTTGTAACTCTTTGGTCGCTTGCATCGGTCTTTCCAGTTCAGGAACGAGCTGCGCCAATGCGTTTTCCGATTGGCTGTTTGACGGCAAGAAATAAACGAAAGCCGATTGTTTGGAGGGGGTACTTAACCAGTTCGAATAATAGAAACAACTTGTTTGTCCTTATCTCCACTAACATGTAACCAGAATTATTTGGGTGGATAGCTCCATTACTGAATAGGCCAAACTCTTGTTCGATAGAGGCTTTGGGTTAAGTGCAGCGCCATATCAAGATTAACCGATCCAGGTTCGCTTTCCCTAGTTAAAAGGGTCAGTAAGCCAAACAACGGGATCCAGTCATAATTGATTTGGTGAACAACTGTGAGAAAAGCACTGTCCTACTGTCTATACGGCTACACAGATAAGCATAAGCGGTTTGGTAGGAAAACAATGCTCAACTACTGTTCATTCAGTTAGAATGAAACAGATTATCCCGCCCAGTGAGTTGTCCTCAAAATAGACCTTCCGGTTTACTTCCAAGTTAAGGTATGTGGCGTTCAGGAGTCCACTCGCAGAGAATACCACTATCGTTGTCTTCGTGATGCAAACTACCATCCCAACAAAGACCAGGATGTGAAATTCGTGCACTTAAGGACTTCGAGACCAATCAGATCTGTGAACGATGGGATGAAATCAACACATATGTGACACAATCATTACGATGTCTCTCCTCTGTGAAGCATACCGTTTGTACGAGGTCACATTTACCTTATGCCTCGTGATCTTTTGGGCAGGTCTCTTGGGAGAGACCAGACATAAAAAAAGACCACCTCTGATGAGGTCTTGTAGGTGGTTCATAGATCTGGAAAAACTCCACTAAAACTTATTGCTGTAGAAATAGCAGTTGGAAAGGGGTTTTAAAACTTGCTGTTGTTAAGGGTGGCTCTTATTATACTCTAGACCTCTCTTGACTAACCGCCCTAGGAACCATCTCTTTTGTGGGTCAGTCTCCTCTGTGAGGCGGTGCACTGGTGAAAAAATGCATAACTGGTCAAATATGGTGTTCCCTGTTGCTTTCTTCAGGGAGAGACAGATACGATTTTATAATCCGCTTCTGAAAGTCAGTGTAATATAGAAACATGAAATACACTATGGCTTGAGGTTGCTACACCATATGCGTTAATATTGTCACCTGCCAAACACAGATTTAGATAGCCTTCATCATTGAACAGAACATCCCATTCGGAGTGAAATATTTACTATGGAGCAACATACAAGTTCGCGCCCAAGCTAGAATCTCGTGTGATCGCAGTTAGCGTTTGTAGGGTGGTGACTCCCCCCCCCTCCCCAAGAAGGTTTTCACTCACTACGTAAAGGTAACCATTATAAGGGGATATGCTTACATCACAAACGCTAAAAAGGTGAGCCAGAGAAATATTAAACTAGCTTTACCGAAACTTGGGGTGCGTACAATATTTGTTTCTCGGACGATCGATTAAGTACATTTTCTGTATCTGTATGAGGGGCTTCCCTCCAACTAAGACTAGTTCAACCATTACCATCAAGTTCTCTTTGTTCTGAGTGGGAGGATTGTGCATTTCAAGACTACAAAGATGGTTTCATTCGGTAATCGGTCTATTGATGTCGTTGCATAAAAACTCGGGTAAAGCTTTATGATAACAGGAAGAAACTGCATTTTTATTGTATACTGGCCGTATTTAAGTTAGTAACTATTAGCTGACCGTCCATGTCCTATCTTTGACATATTAGTGCAACTACTAAGACTTTTGGTATCCAGCTGTCGCAAGCCATCAAGTTTTTAGGAATTGTGTGATCCGATATGACCGAACAGCTGCTAGCATTCATCTAATATGTATGGTGGACACAAGTAAACGTTTCCTCCCATGACCATTTGTTTCAATAACCGCTAAAACCAGATCTGTTGAACGATATCAGTGTAAATTGAATCTGACAACATTCTCTCCCCTCTTACAAACAGCCCATTTACGTATAAAGAGCTTTCGCGTAATTCAAAGAGGCCTACATTAAATTTTTAAGTATCCACAGCCCGCAATGATGCTGCGGAATTCGACAAGCGAAACCTGAAAGGGTATGCGGTATGCACCCGCAATTTTCAAATTTCATCTGTTGCAGCTTAACCTGTATAATCAAGCGAACAAGACCAGTACACCCATATGTGTTGCTCAGTTAGATGAGCATCCGATGAGTACCGGATAACCCTACTTTTTGTGCATATGAATCAGGGGACATGCTTTCAGCCACTAGTCAGATGTCATGAACCCAAATTAGAAGGATGTCATTGTCGCACTCGTCTGTACATCTGAAAGTTTCACAGTATACATGATCCACTGAACCCGATAACTGGTGATACTTGCTAACAGTTCAACCATCGAGCAACATATTCTCGCTTCAAACGATGCAACATTTTAAGACCTTGCACCGCCACAAAAAACTGAAATTAATGAGGTGTCGAATTACCTTAATTGGCAGCAAAAATACACCGCAACGGCCGAATCTAACCAAATTTCTCTGATTTGACTATTTCAGTAAGACCTTGCTAATCAATTCAACAGCTGCCTGGATATAAAAACCGACTGTGCAAGGGATTGATATGTTTTAAATGACAGACATCACCTCCGTTGCACGTGCATGCAACCCCCAGCACTTCAGTTACTCATATTTAAGCGAACCCTTGGCTTGAACCCTAAATATCTTGAAATACAATCCCTTCCTCTTCACAGGTTCTCAGACAGACTTGAAAGCAGCGTAAGAGTTGGTCATTTAGTCAAGTAAGTCGTCAGCGCACTGAAAACACTGACAAACAGATATAGCAAAATTGGTAATCAGATTGTCCATGTAAATTACAATATATCCCTCTCAGGAAGTGTATCGGTCAACAAACGCTTCTTCATTAGTATTCCTCAATTGCAGGAGAACACAAGACGACCGGGCATTCATGGTTGTTGACTTGGCAGTTCGATTGCAGATGTTTCCTCAATGCACCGACAATGTCTCCTACATTAGCGGCGAAATGTTTGAAATCCAGCTGCCTATCTGGGCGAATAGAACAACAATCGAATAGCGCAGCCGAGCTACCTGCATCCCGAAGCATCACCATCAAAGAGGAACACGTTCAGGACATGAAAATGAGGCAGCATATGTGGTAGTTATCAAACCACTGTGCTGGTTATTTTTTCCTTCAGGAATAAAACTCTTCACAACTGCGACAGATGCGCAACAGCCTGTAACTCAGTTCAACGAGTCATCATCAAGACTCGTAAAGCTGACTAATGCACTGGGAAACCGCTGGTTGCAAAAGCAGCTTGAGAAGGCACTTAGACAAACTAACGGGATTAACGTACCCCGCGGCATACTATTGATGCTACTGTCTGTTGTTGTGGAATGTAAGTAGCTCGGGTGCGTTGTTTGGTTGCTGGTCTGCCAAGCTAGTGGAATGTACTCGGGTGCGTTCTTTGGTTGCTGGTCTGCCAAGCTATTGTCTGAGCTTGGCAACTGAGTTAAAGATGAACAGATTTCGTTTCATGAAGTTCCCGTGCGATGTGCGTGAAATCGCTGAATTCACAGTTGGAAGCTATTGATAATTTTACATTAACGATTACCGGGAAAAGTTAACACCTTCTAGAAGAGCAGGGAGTATCCATTTGGCCAGGACGTTCTGCTCGTTACATTCGGTACGCATACCTGGGATTGTCTAATGAGCTTGATAGCTGAACTTTCCGTACAACGGGACGAGCGCATGACCCGTTTGTAACAGGTAGCATCACAGGATTTACAACAGTGTATGAGCTCAACGCTGATGATTTCAGATTTACTAGTCAGTGTTACGGAGATTTTCTATGATTCTGAACACAGTCATTCAATGCAAGTCCAGCCGCATAGCCCGGGTTCTTGGAGGATCACAGCCTAAGAAATATGGTACTCCCGTTTCTCATAGAGGAAACGATGGGCGTTTAGTTCCGCAGAAGAGACGCCACGGGACACCGCAGTGGGTGGGACTTGCCACTGTAAGGAATATAAGATTGTAGAGGTATATAATGGAGACTGTATTTTCACCAGTTGTTCCATTTCAAGGATCATGGTCGCCTCCATCCGCGCATCCTCGAATTCAACACGTAACTGCAAAGTGGATTATTCTGCCTTCCTCCAAGTTTCTCATTATACCACGCGAGCTTGCTAATTCTGTAACTGTTCACTGCAGACAAAGCTTTCTTAGAATGTTGCGAAACAGACCAGTTGTCAAGTAGGCTATCATTCAGTTATATACAAACGGACTGGTTTGTTAATCTACGCGTTGCAAGATACGAAGATAGGGACAATTTCATCCAGCTTCGAAATTATCATACAGGATTTTCATACACGCCTACCAGGTGACAAGTGAAGAATACGTCAACATCAGTTTATCAAAAAACTTATGCTTAGCACTATCTACCAATTTTCTACGGAACAAAATGTATGCGATTTTGATGGCACAATGGCAATTTAGTAGTATCCCGTGTCCACTGCAAAAAAATTATACTTCCAAACGGATCACATCGGAAGGATGACATTAAATGTAAGCAGACCTAACAGATTTCTTGAAAACATAGGCAGTCCTCTTAGAGGTTATCCAAGTGTTACGTAGGATTTTGGATCTTGTCAGTTTCGTCGAAAGAAACTGAGCACGATAAAGGGACCAGGTCCCATGGTTGATCCCTATTCGGAGGTACACTGTATAGTAACGGGAAATGTAGGAGTCAGTATCAACAGATCATGCTCAGTGAACAGGTAGCTACAAAATCATAACATGGCATTCAACCTAAGGCAGCTAAACCATTACATACATGACGGTGAGTTACAGCTGGAAGCTTGCAAAGTCCGGATCAGGCATTACAAAACAGACTTACTGCCACGAAAGCGGTTCGCTTTTGATTATCCACGCATTGGTTACACCCGTCTTGGAAAGTGAGGTTCCGTTCTGCGTTTAGATGTGAAAAATACGAGAAACCAAGAGAGTAAAACTTCATGAGGTACTGACTACCACACCAACTGTATCGATCTGCTGTGATGAGAACAGTACAAAACTACCAACCAACGGTATTGTTGAAAATGGGTCATTCTGTGCAGAGGCCAATGTATCTAGCTACATTACATATGGACGGATGGTGTAGTGGGGGGTGCAAGGCACACATTATTATATCTGCCTCGTTAAGTGATCAGTAGAAACAGTAAGAAAATCCACACAGATGTATAACATGTGCTATCGGACAAGTATGCGGTGCTGGTCAATGCTTCTTAATGCTAATGAGTCATTATTGCGTTCGACCATTGTCTGGCAACATTTGTTCCATTGGTCTTATAGCCTTGAAAAATTTCCCTGGTTGGAAGATTCTGAGTGTATCCAGAGGTTAGTGTTAGTGCGTAATGCCTCCACAGAAAAAAATTTTCTTATGTAGGGATGGGAGCAAGTAAGAAACATAGCATGAATGTTTGAACATTCACAGATGGCTATGCTGCTCATGCAACAGCCCTTTAATTTAAAATATTGACTGTTTGGTATCCCAGTCCTGTTTCGATAATACGCTACCAAAAGTCTTACACTACTAGGTGAATACGCACAAGTGCAGTACCCACAATGGTTCACTTTCGGTAACATATTAAATCAAATATACTGTTTAAAGCGTTTCAGGATGCCAGAAAGATTTTTAATGTGACTGTTATCTGGCTTGACAGAATTTAGAACAGAATTGATTGGGGAAACCCAGTGTTTCCTAAACTACGTGATTCGATAAGTAATCAATACTGATGATACTTGTTCGGGTTCCCGAATACCTGACTATCAAATAAAGAAGCCAGTACTCCTGCTGTTTGAAATAAGAGGGTTTAAAGGAAAGATTATGCGCCATTCTGGGGTGTTGAACATGAGCAAACATTCCCCTCCAATGGCTATTTTCGGTGGTCTAAGTCAACATCACTATTTTCGTCGACTTGGCATGAGATGACCCTCAAAAATGAAGGGATAAAGTTGTGTGTTATCTTATCAAATGCTAAGGTTACACACCCAATTCAGCGAACACTATAGACCGATCGCCACTTGAGCGGTTTTACCGTCTTTTCTAGACTTCTCCGAATAAACGTCTTATGTCAGTCGTTTCGGTTTAGGCATTTTTAGCATTCAAGCAAATGAAAAAAACACTTGGGACTGGTGGAGAAGGTTCAGTCTCACAAAAGTTTGAAATCTACTAGTTTTTTCTGAAATTCTCCTGAGGCGCTTAGTTTATGCTTCAGTACTGATTCTAATGAAATTCTCAGAGATATGATCAGTTTCAGGCAAGATGAGATTAGCAAGTTCATAACGAGTAGGAATGTACTCATAAACGTAGAGATAGAAGTAGTGATGAAAGTGAACATGTTTTGAAGTTGTTATCCAGTCACTTTTGATCTCAAGCTGCTGTCTTGTGGCGGTAGTCTGACTTGGATACCGTGACGGTAACTGTGGTCAGAACTCAGTTATTGGATTTCCATCCACGTCGATAAGTAGCAGTCTAACGGAAAACCGAGAATTCCCTGATACCGGGAATCATATACCGAGGTGGCCCGTGATCTGTAAAGTCGTACTGTTCTTTGTGACAAAACTGTGAGCACAATAAAAAATTTCGCAGCTAAGCAACAACAGCGATTCTGTCATTTCTCAGATGGGGAGGCTATGTTCGAAAAAGTCATTCTCAAAACTTCAAGCGTCCAACTGTTGACCACAACCACACACTGTTTTGAAAGCCCCATTTGGGAGCCAGAGCATAAGAATTCAGAATGTTCCGTTTTGGCTCCTGCGTCCCCGGGGTTTTGTGAGATGGCGCACTGCTGACAATTCCCAATAAAGATGAAACAGCTCTGTGGAGATTTCGTCCTGTTAGTGAGGCTAATCTATGCTGAAAAGCCAATGAGCATTTTACAGCTGTATCAACCTTATTGGGAGCAGCCAGTCAACACGTGTGACCACGTGATGTGGATCCCGTGATTGCAGGATGAGCGGCGCTATATCCTGTCTAAGTCTCAGCTCTCTTCACCTCTGATCAGCTGCTCGTGGCCAAACAGTAAAGTATTCAAACTACTAGCCAGGAGGTCGTAGGTTCGAAACTCTCCGGAGTTTCGTGAGATGCGCACTGCTGTTGATCCCTAATAAGGATGAAGCAGCCGTACAGTGCTCTTCATATTCCTAACAACTGAACATCTATACGTAGCTTATAGGCTTTTCAGTTTAGATTGGTTTAAATCACAGAACGAAATACCAGTTAGAACTATCCCAATCTTCTCACTATCAACAGTCTATAAGTATCTCAAAGGAAGAATAATTTCAAGAAAATGAAACTTCTATCTGAACGCACAAACTGGTATCTCAATTCATCATAATCTCTAGTCCGGGTGCGGATCTCTGCAACTGACACTACCAATTGCATGATCGCTACAGCAGTGATTCAGGATCGTGTCTCTACCCCTGTCCTCTTCAGCTCCTAACATCTATCAACTCAGAGGTGTTTCGGAAGTCAATTCGACATTGGCCGGATGGTTAGTTATTCAATATTAAGCTCTTTCAGGACAACCAAACACCGCTTTTTGTGAGCAACTACCCTTTACTTTTGCATTCTCGAGCGGATTTCAAGTGGCCGATTACGCAATCTCACTCTGACACTTGCATTTTGGCCTGTGGTGCTGAGCTCGCAAAATAAAACACTGAACACTCAAGTGACTGGTTGTGAGACAGTGTGCTTCATGGGTTTCCGTTATCTCGATAGTACACCATTCACAAACCTAACGCTCAATAGTAACTGAAACCCGAAATTCGAGGAGCAGCAGAACATCCAACTGCCTTCGGCAACACATTCGGTGCATCAATCGCCTGATTCCAAGATCGTATTTAAGCGAGCTGCTGAGCTGTCTTCACTACGCGACGGCGGTGGCATGTTCAGATGCTCGATCGATTTCAATTAAGGCGTCCACGCAAAACGGTTAGGCTGAGTTCTTAGCACCCAATTTCTCCGAAAAGTGGGCATACTATAATTCAATATAGTCTGATACTGGGGGTATGCCGCTTCGTAAAATCGCAGAGAATTCCGACCCAAGATAAACCTCCTACAGTCTGTTGAAAAGAGAGTCCGAAATTCGGGACACAGGAATTTACGCTACTAGAACAGCCTTCAGGTGACTCAGGTAACGGCAGAAAAGCCTTCGGGTAAGTTTGAAAAAACGATATCTTCTAGATTAGATCTTGAGAGAGTATATCAGTAGACAGAGGAAGCTGGAAAGCGCAAGCGTCATAAGCTTTGTAGCACAGTGCATCCCAGCATCCCGGCAAGCCACTGAAGGTAACTTATTCTCTTACTGGATTATATGGAATTGTGAAGCAAGACTCAAGTGTACTAGTGGGAGTGGGTTTCTGGTCACCAGAACCTACCAGTTCATCTGATAAACACTTGGTTCCGTTTTCAAACCAGTGTCACTACCACACTCGTCCTAGACAACATCGTTACGTGTAGGTTCAATGACCTCACTCACAATTTTACTCCCTGAGGTCTAAACTGGTCCCAAAGACTTGCGTTTAGCACCGCATTTGGTTGTTGCAAACCACATGTCCACAACTGCTCAGGCTTTCAGCAGTTCAAATGTATCTGATCTGCATGTGCGATTCATGACAGCCATTATTTCAATGGACATTTATATATAATGTTCGGTAATCTTTGGTTTGTTGTGTAGACATTTGTGGCACGTTAGCGGCACTTGAAATGTGTGTATAATCCAACAAATCTTCTGAGAACCACGAGTAGCTTCCAGTTTGTTGCTCGCTAAGGGGATCAAAAAAAACTAGCGGTTCTTATATTAGCTGCATCGAGTGTATTCCTGAAGCTGGCATTTAGACAATTCCACAGCAATGCACATTTGCTCCATTCCAGGATGGATAGGGCCCCACCTTCTAGTTTCGCACTCCTGATGCTAATCGCTTAACAAGGCTAGTGTCAGTAGTTCCATTACACTGCGAAGCATAGATGAATGCTTTATTTACCTAAGCAGGCGTTGGGATATCATTTTCCACATTTTGGCTCCATTTTCGGTGGAGTCCTACTACATAATTTTGAGCTAACTGATCGGCTAACTATTTCCCGTAATTTGTGACAATGCATATTTTCATTCTGCACAGTCATTCTACGTTTTTGGTTCAGCTTCTTGGGAATAGCTTTAGTGTGTTTGTCTCGGCACCCTAAACTCTGCACGAGCAGCTGAGCTGCCCACTCAAGTAACGCCTTTCTATTCTGTTAACACTTTTCGAGTTCCTCGTCCGATGTGATGTTCAAGGTAGTAAAAATAACGATCAGTGATTAGGAGTTTTCATCAGATTCACTCAAACGATAACAATGCGATGAGAACCGCCGTAAGGAACACGGTACTAATAATTTCATGAATTACCCGGAGAGACTGGGGATCAATTAGAGGCGCGCATAGGTTGATTTCCCCTCCGTTTATTGGCCATAAACCTTAGCCAGAACAGGGACCGCGCAAGACAATCCTACATAATGGTAGTGTTGAGACATCTAGGAAGTTTACTGTAGATTTCATCCAGTAGGTTAAGCCAGTCTACGCTGAAAAACCGAGCATTGTACAGCTTTTCCATCCTTTGCTGAGGCCCCTAATAGGGCGCTTTGAGTCAAGTGTACGTTTGACGTTCCAAATAGAAAAAGGAAAAACTGGGCTCGAGAATCTACAGTGCTATTGACATGAAGGTGAAGAAAATTGTCTAACAAAAGTCAATTGTTACGTTCGTGGCATCAGCATGTACGCAAATCTGCCACTGACCAGCACAGTGCGGACCAGGCAACTGTTAGCGGAATGTTAGTTCGGTAATATGGGTCGCTTCTTCGTGGCTATTATTGTGATTCTTATTGATGATACGATTACACGGAAATCACGACAGAACAACTCAGAGCA